CATGTAATGCATAAGAAATTCAATCAATCAGAATTCTTTATTTCATGGAAAGGAAGGAAACGGAGGGCTTTGATTGGTACATTTTCTTATGCATTACGTGTTATGCGTTATGCAAGAGTCTGTGCTCCCCGCTTAAGGCCGGAATCAGACTACGCATTGAAGATTGAGATTGAAGATTGAAGATTAAAATTTGACCATGAGGATAAAGGCCCGTATTCAGAACGCGCTTACAACGATGTTAGCGCGCTAACATACTATACTTTACGTCACGCATATTATAGAATTTTAGAGATAAAAGCGCGCTTTTATCGACAAAAGCGCGTTCTGAATACGGGCTAAAATATTTTAGTTCCTATTGTTTTGATTGGTCAAATTTCAATCTTTCAATCTTCAATCTCAATATTCAATGCGTAGTCTGATTCCGGCCTAAGTGAGAGATAGATATTCGTCTGCACCGTGGTGTTTTCACCAGCTTTTAATTGACGTTAGCAATATAAGAATATTACATATATGCTGTAAATAAACACTTTGACGGGGTACCGATCGCCATAAAGTCATCGATACAACAATTGACAGAGAAAGGAAAATGGCTGTTTATTAATGAACTCTTGCTCCTGCTTTCCTCTAATCATGAACGCGTTGATTGGTTCGCCACGATTCAGAAATTGCCGCTCCATATTTGAATATCAATATTCGTGTTACTTTCAAATTTCAACAACATAATTAAAATTAGACATTTTAAAGATAGGGGAGAGTGATCTAAATCGGATCTATTTACAGTTTCTGCTCTCTATAAGGTGTAAATAAAGTCCGTAAAATCGAAGCTACCGTTGGAAAGATCATTTAATTCCCTTTATTTTTGCTTTAGATTATTTTGACGTATCTCTCATCTGTGTTAAACTATAATGGAAAATGTAAAAACGCTCTTTCCAGTCCGATTTGAAACCATCCCCTGGTTCAGATCAAAAACTCTTATTTTTATGGATTTTTAGATAAAATTTTAAAATATTTTAATGTATTTCTCTTAGTATCGAGTAAAAACGAGCAATTTGACAAAGATTATCACCAGTACTACAACCAGGGCTATAAGTTATTCACTGAACTGTCCGATTTGAACACGGGTCCTTTCGAACTTTGGAACAAATTTTACAATAAACCGCAAAAGTGATTACAAAATGCTTGATATTTTTGAATTCTACACTCTTTAATTATCTTAAATCAATTACTTTTCAAATTTTTAACACTTTTTAAATAATGATTTACAAGGATTTTCTTTTTTAAAAAAATTTTCGCACGATGACTGAAAATACATATTTGCCTCTATTTTATGAATGTTATGACAGAGAATTGTCAAACTGCTATCGCATGTTCGGTGTCTTATAAGGACTTTACATTATAAATAGTATGCAAATCTGCTTAACCGTATTCATTTAAATTAAAAAGGTCCTATTTGGAACACGGTCCGATTTAGATCACTCTCCCCTATTAACAAATAGATTTTTTACATTACGTGTCGAAACAACGCATGCGAGAAGAATTGTTCAAAAAGAGACAATGCTTGTAGACTTAATACATTATGTTATTATCTTTCTAATATATTCACAAAAATATAGAAATAATAACATTGATAACGACAAATTATAGAATCAATGATTTACAAAACTCGCAGTTCAATCTAGTTGTTTGTAGATATAAAAAAATAAAGTAATATAATTACTTTACTGAACTAATGCCAAAATATATACGGAATACATACTTTTCAGTAAATTAAAAGATGCTATAACAAAGGGATATATGTATGCAAACGTTTGTATCTGACATTTTATATTTTGTATAATTGTTTATATAAAGCTTAATAGACATTAGAAGTAAAAAAGAGGTACAAAAATATTTTCTATATTGTCACTCTTCTTATATCAAGATATTGTAACATCAAGTAGAAGAAACCTTTCGACTGAAAACATCGTATAAAAATAGTACGTATTATGTAATAGTATGTAATAATAATGCACGTATAAAATTCTACTTCAAATTTAGTGATGAAACAATCGGAAACCAGTGTGAGCCAGCACAATTCCATGTTCATTGCAGGCTTCTATTACTGCTGCGTCGTTCGTAGAACCAGCAGGACTCGCGATAAACTTGACACCACTCTGTAACAAAAGAAAAGAAATCACTAAAAATATCAAATGCAATATTCATAAATTTATTGTTTAGAAGAAAAAAACAAGTTGGTTGAGTAGCATTTAATTTATTTTTATCAACTTAAATGACCGTATTTATATAAAATAAAGGTAATATATAAAAGTATATATAATACTAATTACACATACAAGTCTAGCTCTGTCCACGTTGTCTCTAAATGGAAAGAAGGCATCGCTGCTCAGAGCAACATTGTTCAACTTCTTGAGCCACTCGATTTTATCGTTCTCCGATAGTTTTTCAGGAATCACTTCGTACATGGCGGCCCAAGTAGCTTCGTCCATATCTTTTCCAATAGACCCGTTAACATAATTATCAATGGCATTAGAAATTTCCGCTCTTTTCACTCGCTTTTTGAACTTCATTCCTATTACCTTCGGGTGTTGACGAAGCCACCTATAATACAAAATAATACAATATATACATATGTATATATACACACATATACATTATATATTATACAATATATTAAAATAAAAAAGAAGATAATAACTTTCAATATAATTATTTCTATGTTTTTAGTAATTCATTTTTATATACATAATAAAAATACGAACCAATTATCGGCCTTATCTCCAGCAAGTCTAGTGCAATGAATTCTAGATTGCTGTCCGGCACCTGTGCCTATTACCTGGCCGTTTTTAACATAACAAACAGAATTACTCTGCGTATATTTTACAGTGATAGTGGCTACGATCAGGTCGCGAATAGCGTTTTCCGATAGCGACTTCGATTTCGTCGTCACAACATTGTCGAACACGGACTTATCGATCACTGCATCATTACGTTTCTGCTCCATAGTTAAGCCATACAAAGTTTTGCGTTCCATCGGGGATGGTACATAAGAAGGATCGATTTGAAGCATGCAATATGCGCCACCCTTCTTCTTCTTTAGTATCTCAAGAGCCTCTTCCGAGTAGCCAGGTGCGATAATGCCGTCTGAGACTTCTCTAAACAATTACAAAAAATCAATATAAATATTAATGTCAATATTATATTCATAAATATTAATTATAAATTACGTTATTATATTATCATATTTGTAAAAAATGCCAATATTGTATTAATATTATAATCATACGTTAACATCATGTACCTTGATATGATCTTTGCCGTTATAATATCGCATGGGTCAGACAATGCAATAAAATCACCAAAACTGGACATTCGATCGGCACCTCTTGCACGAGCATAAGCAGTCGCCAAAGGCGTAAGCTGATTGTGAAGATCATCCACTTGGCACAGCTTCGCTTGTATATTATCCAAGCGAACTCCGACTGCGGCCCCAGCTGGGCTCACGTGCTTGAAAGAAGTCGCCGCTGGTAAATTAAGAGCAGACTTCAATTCCTTCACTAGTTGATAACCGTTTAAGGCATCACAAAGATTGATGAAACCAGGTGATCCATTCAGCACAGTTAACGGTAATTTCTCAAGGGTAGTGAATATCTGCGCTGGTTTCTGATGCGGATTCATACCATAGCGAAGCGTGAGTTGAGAGACATCAGCACTGTACTGCTTGCGAAAATAATCCGAGATAGAATTGTCATATTCAGCGGTGTGAGTAAATGCTTTTAGAGCTAAAATTTGCCTGAAATATATTATATACAAATATATTATATACATATATACACACACACACATACACACATATATGTATATATACATACAGTATCATCAAAAAGGCGATTTTATATGATTGCAATGTAAATTTATTATGTAAATTTACCTAGTCTGCAAAGAAGTGTTATTGTCGGCAGCAGTATCCATCTCTTTGATGACCTTTTCATAATCATTGGGGTCACAGATAACTGTAACTCTAGCATGATTCTTAGCAGCCGCACGTAATAAAGTCACACCACCAATATCGATATTCTCAATTGCATCCTCGACCGTTACGTTTGGTTTCAAAATGGTATTTACA